AAGACAATAGACCCCAGGAAGCCCGTCGCCGGCAGTGATCGAGTAGAAGATCGGTCCTCACAAAAACAAAAAACAAAAGGGGCCCCCTTGGTACAGTATGCATGCACATCTAAGGTGGCGCTGAAATGATTATCTGCCTTTGCCAGCGTTCGCGGTGCAGATACTGTATGTAGCACACTGCTTTCGCCGTCGGGAATTTTTATTATTTCTGCATTCCCCATCCCTGTATCAGCATGGCTCGTGATGCGAACGGAAAGAAAGTCATGACTCGGCCCCTGGCGATATGAATGCCGTCCTCATCCGAAATTCAAACATTTTCACATTTCAGCAGACGGTCAGGCTGATCTGAACTGAACTGTGCTGAAGGTTCCCTGTTTTTCTGGGTGCAGCCACTCGTTCCGCCGCCGCCAGGAGCCAGGAGCCAGAAGCCTCCACGCAGTCTCACTCTGGCTCTCGCTCTCCCTCCCAGTCGTTTGATCGTGGGCCCCTGGGCAAGAATGTGCTAATGCTATGCTGCATCAAGCAATCTGTGCTTCTCGTATGAAGCCACGATCACGACCACTCGCCATGCGTCCGTCCCCGCCTCGACCTGGCGCCCCCTTCGCGAGTCTTGCTCGAATCCCAGGCCCCATCCCAGGAGAACGGCGAACCACGCATTCCAGCCTCCAGGAGCCCCCCCCGGCCAAACCTGCCTTCTCAAATCCGCCGTATCTCCGTCCAGCGTTCGTTCAGGAGCCACTGCCCACTGTCCAGGAATAAATTGTTGCCCTCGGCAAAGCGGGCCCTGTCCTCACAGACAGATGCGGTGAGAGGAGAGAAGAGGAGAGAGGCCATGCCCACGCACATGCCCACATTTTTGATGCCGGTCGCCAACCCCCACTGTTCCCATCGAGTAAACCGAAGGGCCCTCGAGTGGGCCGGGGCTATCCTGAGCGCTTTCGGTAGTCGGTGGGATTGGAGGTGATGGTGGTAGTTGTAGTAGTAGTGGTAGTGTACTGTACGGCACTGTGGTAGTCGTCCGTCCAGCACAAGCGCAACGGCTGGAATAAACACTCCGTAACAATAACAATAACCATAACAAGAAGAAGAAAACTGCTAAGCAATGCAATTATTGTTGATATATGGGACTTTCTGCAGCAGGAGGCGTGGTGCGCTTCCTTAGTGCTGTGCCTCCAGATCATAGTCCTTCCCGTGCCTTTGGGTCGCCTACGCAAGCGTCGCCCCAAGTCGCAAGTCGAGCAAGCTACAGCACCCCGTAACGGCCCCGGGAGCGTGGCCTGCAGGACTAGGGCTTTTCTTCTCCCTATCGTAGGTACATGTACTTCGTATGGTCCAGCAGGTACAGTACATACGGTACTGTACGAACAGCACTGGAGGTATAGATTATAGTATTATTGCTCGAGTGCGAGGGCGAAGAGCCCCATAGTACTCCACCGCCCTGTGCAATGGCCCGTCGGCCGACCCCCTCACCGACTCCCTCATCGCCGCCCCCCCCCCCGCGGCTTCCTTTCACTGAGATTGAGGTCGACTCTGTATCCGCTGCTGGAAGGATTTGCCCACTGCTTGGTACTGTAGAGTAGGGTAGGAGTACTTCGTGCTTGGGTCTTGGTGCTTGGTCCTACGCTGCTGCTGCTGCTGCTGCTGGCTAAGGGAACTTTCCGAGCCCGCCTGTCGGTGTCGCTGGCGTGTGCTGTGGGTGTGGTGTGGTGGGCGCTAGCTGGCGGTGCAGTTTAGCGGCACATTAGCCTCTGTTCAAATTATTCCTCTCCCCCACATCATCATCATCATCATCGATCATCGACAACATCGACCATAATCGCACCTCGCGCGTCGCTGTGTCACCGCCCTTCCACGGAGTAATAATAATCGTGCCTCGGGCTTCCCCATCCTCCAGCGCACCCGCTCGCCCGCCCTGCTGAATTCAGTCCGCTCCAATTACCCCGACCGTGCTTGAAACGAAGTGAAGTTTCACCTCCGCCACGAGCAAACCACGTCTTTTGCCAGGACGAAGGATACCTATTCGTGAGGTTTTTGATCAGCTTCGTGGCCGTTATTCGCGCCCCCCAGAAGTAGACTAGACTAGACTCCGTCGATATCGCAGCTACGGTACGAAGTACCTACCGACGTTCGTGCTTTGACTACGCACAAAGCGATTCTCTTCCAAGAGATCGGCCATCCCCCATCACCACTACCACTCCCACTACTCCCACACACACCACCACCACCACCACCACCACTGCGAGATTGACAGGCGCGTCGTGTCTAGCCCCCTCATTCCCGCCCCGCCTTTCACCATCATCGCCGCGGGCCCCAAGTCAAACGGCGAACAGATTCCTCGCCTCGACATAGTCGCGCTATCGCCCAGGAACTCGACACCGCAGCACCTCGCGTGCTTTATTATTCCGCTTCTCATCCATCTTCCGCAAACACTTGCTCCCTGCGCCCGGGTGTGCTACAGTACCGCGGGGGCACAAAAGATTAGACAGCGACCAGTAGATCGAAGGGAAGTTGGGAAGCCGACGCTCATTTCTCCTCTGGAGACCCAATTGATATCTTCGCGCACCCCGTCCTCGAGTAGAGCATTGTTTTGCGCGAGACGCTGAAAATATCCTTCTATTTCGCCCAACTCCGAACACGTCCTCCCCTTGTTGCTCCGCTTATCTGGTAATTGAAATAGAGTTTGAGCTGCCATCTCACGTCGCATTGTCGGCTCCTTGACGTCGTCATCGAGATCTCGGCGCGAGGCAAAGAGAGATATCTGGAATCATTGACATAGTCCCACGCCAGAACAAGCTTCACCTGCCAGACAACTAGCCCACCGCGCAGGATCTAATTGATCGGCAGACAGGGTCCAGATTACGCAGTTAGTGGAAGATTAACTCTTGCACTAGGCACCTAGACCTGCAACGCTTGCGTCTACACAAATTTAGTGTCGTGGGCGAGCGAGAATTAGATTTGTGGTGACCGTCAAGCGGCCGCTGCACGCACTTGGACGGTGGGCAGGAGGACTGTTGAGCTTGGAGAGCGCTAGAGTTGTAGGAAGCTGCCACCAGCCAACGCGAACGCAACGCCTCCCCAGGATACCAGGACACCCGCCAGTGGTCGATCGACGCCGTCGGTGTCGGACTGTTCTGCGAACAAACACCTACGCTCCATACTCGACCCGTCCTGTCCGTACGTACGTACGTACATCGAGTGTCCGGGTCCTCGAGTACCTAGGTACTACTACCACCACTACTACTACTACTACTACTACAGTACCCGCACGGAGTCGAGCGAGTGAGCCCTACACTAGCACCGCACGGCCAGGCCAGGCCCTATTTACCAGGCTGTCATACCAGCTGCTAGCGTAAATCTTGTGTGCTCAGTTCCGGGGCTTTCGGCAACCGTCGACATACCCGGTCGAGTCGCCGCCTTCATAGTGCTTTGTACACAGTACAGGACATAGTATAGGACATACTACTGCCCCATCGCCACGAGGGCGACTGACCTCCCCCCCCCC